TCTTTCAAAACGACTTGAAATGCATTGAACAAGAAAAAAATTTGACGACCTAAATTCTCCACAAAATCATCCTCCGCATTCACGTGCTCAGCCATAGCAGCCATTTAAAATACTAATATCCTGGGTCTTGAATATCGTGTGGATTGAGTAGATTTAAACAACTTTCAACAAAACTGCGGCCGTTTGGGAAGATCTCATACGCCCGAATACTTACCGTCAAATGTTAAAACTTTATGTTAAAGCTTTCCTCCCTCGAACCTCGGTTTCAGAGAAATTTTCGGCGTGCGTCTAGCCCACGGCAAATATAGCCGCTCAGTTTCGACCTGATTCGTTTCTGGCGCCCCAAGTGACGCAAGTCTCTTAATTCTTTATGCGCTCAGGCATGCACTGACATCTCTCACGATACAATTACGACCAAAGCGGGTGTCCAGACAGGCAAATCGGTAAAATCCCAGGATCCTCTCCATGAATTTTCGGGGGGGCTCGAAATCTTTGATAAATAATTTTCAGATTGGAGGTCCACGAAGTGCGGACCAAAACTAAAGGTTAAATCCGAAGTCCTGCACCCGATAAATAAAAAGAAATCGTCATTAGTCTGCTTAAAGTCTGCTAGTTTTTTCCCAGATTATTTTCGGTAATAGGAGTCCCTAGCTCTTGAATTATGCATTCTATGTGTTCGGGGGCCAGCCGTCCCTAATAACCGAAAATCACATCAGTTGGACGGATGTGTCACGTGTAGGACACGACCAAACAAAGGCTTGTCCTGACTGGTTGGAATGCCGGCCAATCCGAGTCGAGCATCCTTGACTGGACGCTTCTCGCCCCCCTCACGGTGCCTCCAGCACGACCTTGATGAACACTCTGTGACTACCCTATAAATACAGTTGTAATAATCTTCCTTGGTCTCCATAAAGGCTGTGTAAAGCTACCGTGCCATTTGATATACCATAGTGGGCGAAGCAGGAAGCCAAGGGCCCGATACAGAGTTGCACGATCGTCCACCAAGATATAACACTATGATAACCGGCCACAAAACTGAACCGAAAAATGGGGGCCTTACTATATCCATTCAGGTATGGGAAGACTGAAAAGTTCATTGTAGAGTATGGAGAGTGGCTAGAAACTCACCCATATACGGGGCCCCAGCTCTGTCTGAAGTCGAGGAAAACCGGAGGTTTTGGCATGGCACGTGTATGGTGCTGCCGAAATATTTGGCAGAAGTGATTATGTGATAAATTGGTATCGGTATCGGTACCAAACTCTACTTGCCGCTCCTGGATTAGTGTTTCACTTGCCGTCGTAACGTTGAAGCCAGTCACCCCCTTAGAACAGGTGTGGGACCTTCATATCTGTGTTCGGGACGGTCGTTTTGTGCTGATTCTGAGTAAGAATTACGCCGATTGAGTGCCTCGATTTATGTGGAAGTAGTTCTACTTCCCATCCAAGTTGGAAACATCCGGCTAAGTTGGAATACATGGCCACATCATCGTCTCTAAGTAGCACTAATGGAAGCTCAAGTCACCTTGAGTATTAACAGTATATTATCAACCTAGTTTTCAGTCTGAACCTTTCAACATAGCTTGTCAAAATGGCCACCAAAAGTGAACTGTGCGTATTAACGTCGAGAACCAGGTTAAAAACACTTGTACTTCGTGCTGCATGTAAAGCGTATGCGGAGATTCTGGTGCATTCTAGTTGCGTCAATAGTAACCAGCATTCGGTAAATACGGGAGCACGATCGGCTGCCGAGTCCACAACTTCGGTCAATCGGAGTAGGTGTTGATGCTGAATCGACAAGCGGTCCGGTATTTTGGCCAATCACTTGCGGGATAGGGTTCTCGTCCGTAGCAACGCCTTACATCGAGCAGCAGTGGTGCGAAATTCCGCGTAACGCCTTACCCTTGAAGTTTCTCGTGGTGGATTTCTGGGTTCACATGCAGCGGCCTCACTGGCTTGCGGATCTTGTTTGTCCAACGTCGTGGTCGTAACGCGTGTTCGGGCTGGGCTTCCGACATACCAACTGATGGATTTCCCGCAATAATGCCGAGTTTAAAAATGCCCAGAAACATCTCTAGATTCAGCTCATTCTGTACGGTAAAGAGGATCTACACATTTTTCGGCCAGATCTGGTCTGCGCGCTGGATCCACTTGGCTGGGCCGACTTACGTTCCGTAGAGCACTGTGTCGCACCGGATATGTCCTGGAATCCACTCAGGGTGTCTGCTGCGGTAGTCGCGGACCAACACTCTCTGACCTCCGCAGGACCGTGTGACTATGCGATGCTGCCATTTTAGGGGAATCTTCATTCTTGTGTTGCGATGACCAGTGGGGTTTTCGAAGCTTTGGATGGATTGGACACTACCAACAGAAGGATCCGTTGATACATGTTGGCTTTCTCTTGAAGACAAAATATCATGGCCATGCGACCTATATACGCCTGTTCGACATTGCGAATCAAATCGATGTCGCCCACCCTGGTTCGATCGAGAGCTTGTAACGTTGACCAAACGCCGCCGAAAACTGTGGAAACGTTATAGGCAGTCTCGTGATCCCGTGGATTATGCAACTTATAAGACACAGCGTAACTCATGCAATTTTATGAAATTGAGAAAACGCCAAGCTTATGAAAACTCTCTCGCCGAATCGGTCAAAACAACGCCCAAAAGGATTTTTGCTTATGTCAACAGAAATCTCAAATCTTCTGATGAGCTACCGTACATACAAGATCAAGATGGCAATATCATCACCTCAGACTCCGCGAGGGCCACTGAGTCTGCCTGCCACTTTTCTTCTGTATATGCCACAAACCCCTCAAGAGACAGTCATACTGGTTCCTGCGCGGTTAGATTGGATTCGTTGGTGTGTTGCACCGAAAAGGTGTGTTCTCTGTTTGTCGCTCACTACTGCAAAGTCCGCTAGTCCTGATGGTCTCCATCCAGTAATTTTGAAAACATTAGCACCAGTCATTGCACCTGCAGTCACGACTCTATAGAATAAATCCCTTGCAGAAGGTGTGCTGCCTCAGGAATGGAAAGACTCAGTTGTTCGGCAGTTCCCCAAAGGCGGAGATCTTTCTCGAGTCACAAATTACCGTCCAATCTGCCTTACTCCCATACTCGCTAAGGTTCTGGAAAAGATCGTGAAGCAGGCTCTGTTGCATATGCTGG